TTTTTTTTTTTTTCTTTTATTTAGTTCACATGTTTAGTTTTCTTAAGGTGGAGCATCTTTAACAACAAAACCTCTTAAACCTCCTTTTTCATTTTTTAATGTGCCACGTCACCCAAAACCTTCTATCTTACTCCTACACTCTAAACCTACAATAACAATAAACTTCTTATACGGGTCCCTCATGTTCCTCACTTATTTTATTTAAAATTATTATTTTTAATCTTTCCTACTATCTTTTTCTTATTTTTATAGTTATTTAATGTCCACTTGGAGGTTTATGTGAGGTTTGGAATCTTAAACCTGGTTTAAAAACACAAACCTCAACTCTCTTCTTTATAGTGGTAAACCTCATAGGTTTGTATTTTTAAACCTCTCCAAAACCTCTCACTAAAGATGCCCGAGAAGTTAATTTTTCAAAAATGTGTGTGTACACTTTGAAATTGAAAAAAAAAAAAATAAAAAAAAAATGGCATACATCTTGATAGTTACAATAAATGGATAGTTACAACTTCCTCTCGAAGTCCCTGATTTTTATTGCATGGTCAAAAGAAGACCGACTATTAATTTCGTTTTCCATGAATTGGATTGGCTTATGGAAATTAATGGGTTCTTGAAAAATCCTTCTCTTCCGAATGTTGAGTATGTAGGGTTACCCTCGTACATACGTTACTCTCGATGTTTTGAGGTGTTGGTGAATTCAAGTCAATGTTGTTTTGAGGATATCGGCGTTAACCGTTAAATTCAAAATGTTTAATTTGTAAATATATTCCGTGGTTCTCTAGTTTATTCAAACATGTCTTTCAATCTGTTGTCCTTTATTCTCAAATATAATTTACTGTTCAAAACTGATTAGAAATAGAACTTGGATAGTGTCCTAAGTTGTTAGGAAGTACGAGCCGTAGGGCGAGTGTATCCAGTTTAAGCAAAAGGACATAGGAAGTCGAACTAACCTATCCTTAAGACAATAAAGGTAAATCTTATTCACTCACGATGTCGAAATGTTTCTTGGAAACAGAATCGATTGAGTGATAGGTAGATTACCATTTAGAATGGGCAAAGCCACGGATGTGACAGTTATTGCAGTGAGAGTTTTCTATATATATAATTATTTGGTTTTGAGTAATTATCGTTGCGTACCAAGTTTTAGAAAGAATTCGGTTTCAGTTTCTAAATTGTGTGTGCATATAACGTATTGTTTGATGGCGAGTGTCATGTCTAGAAAATTAAACGTTTATTCAATTGGTAGGTGGGTAGATAATAGTGAAATAAATGAAAGTAAATGACACATCGACTAAAACCAATAAGAGACAAGGTCTCTTGGACACATTGGTTAAGTCAATGATGAGTTACTAAGGATCTTTCAAGTTTTTCATTTTTGGGGTTGTGCACATGATGACATAAGGTCTGAGCAAAGTTCAATCTAGATTAGTAGCTTTTACTTCAAAACGATTATGGACAGGGTTGAGACCCTGTCAGGACATATTCGAGTTTGGAGTATTTTCGGCATTGGCTGAAAAGTTGATACTTATAAGATTGGAAAGTCGTTCAGAAAATTGGTTGTTTGTGGGATACTCCATAGTAACGAAGAGATGGTTTACAATACTAAGAATCTGAAAGTGATCGTTAAAACGAATGTCTGATTTTTAGAGGAATACTGAGTGATAAACCAAAGGCCCATTTGTAGAGTTGTCATAAGGAAAGATAAAGGTTAAAGTTCAAACTTCGTTACCGCGTGTATAAAATGTTATACCACAATAAGACTGCAAAACATGTGTCTCTAGTAATACACCTATGCTGGAGGTACTTTGTCGTAGTAAAAGCATTGCAAAGTGATTATCATATGTTCGTGTTGATGAGAGAGTCGTGGACTTAGTTTCTAGTAAATACGAAGACATGAAATCATGTTCTTGAAAAAAGTCATTGGACTTAGTCTCTAGTGAATGTGAAATAAATCCCTAGTTATACGATAAGATGCTTATTGTAGTGGGAGCATTGCAAGCCAACTGCCATACATTCATGTTTATTAAGAGAAAATTTTGGACTCAGTCTTTGGTGAACGTGAAGCTAATTCCTGTTTATACATTGAAAAACTCTGAGACAGTAGATGCAGGAACTTAGCAAATAACAATGATTTATGATATAGGGTCTTGGACTCTAATGGGATCTGGGATCTTGTATAACCACTAAGTGGCATAACGACATTGGGGTTAATGGATCTACAAGTAAATTTGTGTAGACTTGCACATGTAGGCTTGTTGTGAAATAATGAACTCAGAAAGAAGTTGGATCTATTATGAGTAACCTTTTCACCATTAGCCGTACTTGAATCTATATGAATTTTAGGTTGGGGCCACTTATATGTAGTGTGAGTTTGGCATCGTGGATATCAAAATGAGGTCTTGAAGGGAGATCCATGAAGAAGCACCCAGAAAGGTTCATTGTAGATTGCTAAGAACATCTAGTCAGTAAACCGAAACAGTCTATTTTTGGACAAAAGTAAGTGTTGTTATCCGGTACATTTTGTTGATCAAGTCTGTAGATATGATCAGTCACCAAATGAGCATTGTGTGCTTATGAGAAGCGTGGTGGTATTTTTATACTATGCGTAGACGACACTTCGATCACTTGAAGAGGTAAAAGGGTATTGTCAGACGCAGAGGTAAGGTTATCCAAGCAATTAGATATGAAATATTTGGAGAATACGACACATGTTCTTGAGATGAAGGATCACAAGAAAGGATTGTTGTGATTTTCCCGAACTTCTATCTATGGACTGTCATAAGGCTCATTCGTGGCATATGTGACATAAAGTCAGTTCCTTATCCTCGACAATAAGAAGCCTAATATGTGCAATATAGTAAATGAGGCCTGATATCTAGTTTTGCCAAGGGCATAGTTGGTAGATATCGAAGTAATCCTAGGGAGGTGCAATTGGTTCATGCTAGAACATATGATCAAGCGACCGTAACTGGGCTAAGGATAATATGTGGAGTTGCCAAAGGAAACACATGCAGCCTATAGATTACAATATATTCTGATTTCTAATCAGGCGTGAACGATAGAGTAAATACCTCGAGATTTGTGTTCACTTGTGAGGTGGAACCAATGGGTTTGGATCCAGAAACCTCTATTGCACTAGAAACGTAAAGATACTTTTTTGTCCAAGTCAGATCACAATTTGATTGTGATGAACAAAAAGGAATTACAAGTTCATAATGCATGTGAGCGCATGGGGCAAGTACGACACAGTGCAGAGAATCGCAGAGGGGTAGAGTTTTGTTGCCTAGTTGCGTCATGAGACGACCAGGAAGATCCTTTTTTGAATTGGTATTCTGGCAAAAGCCATTGATGACCATGATAAGGGATGAGGGAGTCGGATGTATGACAGTTAGGACAATAGTTCTTTGAGAATACAGATTGAAAGAAGTATACTAGTAAAAGCGGAAGCTTTAAGTATAAGTGGGAGATTGTTGGTGTATATACTGAAAGCTTGGCTTTGGATGCATTTACATTGAACCCGTTTGAATTAGAATCATATTTAGTTAAACAGTCTATGTTCTGTTGTTTTGCACTTAGATAAAACAGTTCGTTATCGGGTGAACAGAAGATCATTTATCAATTACTTGCGAAACAAGATTAGTAGGTTCACAACCTAGATGGAAATGAACAACCCATCGTGAACACTTGTAGTGTTAAACGTACAGTTGGTCTTGACTGATTAGTTACACTAGTTCACTTTGGGTATTAAACGGATCTCAGAGAAAAGAAGTTCGTGTTTGTCCCATTTTTGTTACATTTTTTCTAGTTATTTTGACTTTCTTTTTCTTCCGTTTTAGGTCTTTTCGTTGGGTTTTATTCGTTTTTTTTTTTAAATTATTGCGTGATTTGCTCTATTTTGGTTTTCCTTGTGTTTTCCGTGTATTTCTCAAGTTTTCCTTCATTTTTGGTGTGTAGGTCGAAAGCCTCGGGAGGACCGGATTTTATTCAAAAATTGACCATGCAAACATAATTATATAGAATGTTTTGTTGGCAACAAACAGAAAAAAGCGGAATCGAATTCCGATACCATACGCGCCCAAACGAGCCCGAGACGCGAAGTCGTGCACGGAAGCCACCAGCCCCAGGCCCAGCGCCCCACGCACGTCGCGCCACGGCACATGCCACGACATCGACAGAGGCGCCCAGGCTTTCTTCATCGCGCCGCGTGCCCTGCGGCGCCGCGGCACGCTCTCCCTTCACACCGTGAGGACCATCACAGCGCGGCACTCTTCTGCTTCACGCTGCGCCAGCACACGTGTTCGGGAACTCGTTTCAGATATTCCCCCCTCCGGAGGATGAACCCTAGGTCATAAAAACACCGCAATAACTCTTTTCTCCTTCCCTTCTTCTTCTTCATATTTTTTCTCTTCTCTTCATCTTTCTCTTCCATTTTTCTTCTTCTTCTTCTAGGGATTTATGG